CAGCCACTTTAATGCAAACGAGAATTTGATAAGCGACACATGAACTGCATAAGATTGACTACACAGAATAGATTACAACAGAGTTGCGATCAGGTTCCACGATATTCCAATTATGCCTTCACTTCCTAAAATATGAAATTCCTTCCTGATCTTCTTGCTTGCATGCACTTTCTGAGACGACCTGTCAGCATGCCAATCAACCACAAGGTTGAAACACCACAACAGGTAGACAATTCAAGATGAAGCTCTTCTTCGCTCTCTTTCTTCTTGCGTCGGTCGTCCAGTCACACACACGCTTCAACAGTCTTGTTCCAAACCACCGAAATCTTCAACCTTTACCTAGTTGTGGCTATGGGCAAAAAGATTGTTTTGACTTGGTAAGAATACTACTTTTCAATGCAGATGAGTCTGGATCCAATTTTGAGGAATTGTTTCGCCTTCTTCAGACATCCCCGGAACCGCCAGCGTGGACCACGCAAACGGCGACGACATCCACGTTTACTAGTCCATCGACGTCTACGACATCTACATCCACGACAACTACGGCGACATCTACATCCACGACAACTACGGCGACATCTACATCCACGACAACACCTACTACGACATCTACATCCACAACAACACCTACTACGACGACGTCTACAACACCTACTACGACGACGTCTACAACACCTACTACGACGACGTCTACTACACCTACTACGACGACGTCTACTACAACGACTACGACGACGTCTACTACAACGACTACGACGACGTCTACTACAACGACAACGACGACGTCTACTACAACGACAACGACGACGTCTACTACAACGACAACGACGATGTCTACGACAACGACAACGACGACGTCTACGACAACGACGACGTCTACGACAACGACGACGTCTACCACAACGACAACGACGACGTCTACCACAACGACAACGACGACGTCTACTACAACGACAACGACGACGTCTACTACAACGACAACGACGACGTCTACTACAACGACAACGACGACGTCTACTACAACGACAACGACGACGTCTACTACAACGACAACGACGACGTCTACTACAACGACGACGACGACGGCATCTACGACGACGAAGACGACGACGGCATCTACTACAACGACGACGACGACGGCATCTACTACAACGACAACGACGACGGCATCTACAACGACAACGACGACGGCATCTACAACGACAACGACGACGGCATCTACAACGACAACGACGACGTCTACTACAACGACGACGTCCACAACGACGACGTCCACAACGTTGACGACGACTACAACGACGACGTCCACAACGTTGACGACGACATCTACAACAACATCTACAACGACAACGACGACGTCTACGACAACGACGACGACGACATCTACAACAACATCTACAACGACAACGACGACGTCTACTACAACGACGACAACGACGACGACGTCTACTACAACGACGACGTCCACAACGTTGACGACGACATCTACGACGACGACGTCTACTACAACGACGACGTCCACAACGTTGACGACGACATCTACAACGACGACGTCCACAACGTTGACGACGACATCTACAACAACATCTACAACAACAACGACGACGACATCTACAACAACAACGACGACGACATCTACAACAACGTCTACTACGTCCACAACGACAACGTCTACTACGTCCACAACGACGACGTCTACTACGACAACGTCTACTACGTCCACAACGACAACGTCTACTACGACGACGACGTCCACAACGACAACGTCTACTACAACGACGACATCCACAACGTTGACGACGACATCCACAACGTTGACGACGACATCCACAACGTTGACGACAACATCCACAACGTTGACGACAACGTTTACGACGACATCCACAACAACATCCACAACGACAACGTCTACTACAACGACGACGTCCACAACGTTAACGACGACATCCACCACCACGACGGTTACGACGACATCCACCACCACGACGGTTACGACGACATCCACCACCACGACGGTTACGACGACATCCACCACCACGACGGTTACGACGACATCCACCACCACGACGGTTACGACGACATCCACCACCACGACGTTTACGCATTCCAGATTTTGTGCTGATTGTTCAAAACGGTGAGTTTGGTTGTCTCCTGTTCTGCTACCTAAACCTGTTGCGCCCATTTGTTTTAGAGGGTGCCCAAGGGACTGTTGTGGCTATTGCGTGAACTGTGCACATCGGGGAGCGGTACGACACCAAGTTTCGGTCCCTTGCGACATTTTTCTGTCTTTCAGTGCACCATCGCTTCCTGCAACTATTGTGTTTCAATCAGCTGCGCTGCACCAGTGTGCTGCCCAATGTGCACTCATCATGGGTGCCTCGCTGCAGGATTTTGCGCTAGACTCTGATGATGAGGTGCAATTTAAATTTTCGTTCATTCAAAATTGTTTTGTCTTTGCCAAACATTTTCACAGTTTTAAATATTCGGTTTTAGCTTTGAACGAACTATTCTCCGTAAAAGCAGCAGGCGTCGAAGCAGTTGGGTGGTTCATGCTCGAAGGGCTCCAGAGGAAATTTCTCTGTTGGCACCTTATAGACGATCTTGGTTGGAGTGCCGTGCTGCGCCCAAACACTTGGATGACCGCCTACGCGAATGCGTTGAAAGACTGAACCTTTTGTCTTCAGCGGGATAAATGTGTTGGCTGCAACGCCTGGAGGCGTTTCAATCGTGTCGAATAATTGAACTTCCGGAGTGTCCGCGATGGTGACACGGCTTTCCCGAGCTCTAGAGTTCATGAAAAATAATCACAAATTGAAAAGTTGATCTGGTTTCGCGTTTTTTTTTGCATGCATCAAACAAAATTGACTGGAAAATATTGTGCCACTGAATCGCAAAATTTACTGCTCAGATAGAAATAGTTGAAAGGAAAGAATTCAAAGAACGAATCGGTCAGAAAGGGGGGTTTAGTGTCATGCATATATCAAAGGGTCCAATTCGAGTCAATTTCCTTGCCAGGCAGGCCTTTTTTCGTAGTTTTCTGTTTCAATTTGTTAAGTTACAGTGGATTTTTAACATTTGTGGCTGCGGCAAACATCCTGACTGTGATGATCACCAAACAAGGGTTTCTTGGATGCCTCAATTCATCAACACAAAGGCATCGAAGTTAAGTAAATGAGAAATAAGTCAGACACTCTGTATAATGAGAACAATCAGCGGGTTGGAACCTTTGCCGATATCGTCTGCAGAGAAATTAATAGTCGAAGAAAAGTCAAGGCAAGGCCAACAGGGGACGAACTCTATCGTGGTGCTAACGTTCAAAACGCCTACATCTGCGGAATTGGCGATGAAACGGGACGCCATGCTCAAAAATTCGCGTCATTCCGAACTCAGCAGCGTGTGATGGCGGGAGAGCCACTAAACGACAGCTTTTGGGAACTTCCCTCGCAGTTTCCTTGCGGTATTCCGATTCTGATGAATCAGCCCCCGCTTCACCCTTGGGGGGATTTGGGACAATTGAAAAGGCACTTCAACGAGGCCGGTCCTTAGCACCTAGAGTTGGGCACTCAGCAGCTCCGAGAGTCAAACGAGGGTGTCGAAGCTCTCAGGGTTTCGTTGCGCAAGGATCAGACGACGATCAAGCGCTTTGTCAGGGAAGAGGAAGGGCTAAAACTGGAAGAGCGAAGCGATCATTTAAGAGCCAGTCAGATGATACACTCCAAAACCAAAGCGAGGGGAAAAGCGCACGAAGAGAAAACGAAATTGTCAGACGAGAAGGTGCGAGAGCTTGTGAAGGAGAATTTGACGCTTCAGCAAGAAGTTGAAGACCTTAAGGGTAAAATGAAGGTGACGGAAGAAACACAAAAGCAAGAACGGGTGAAGCTACTCGACAACATGGCTGAAAAACACCAAAGACGGGTGCTTCTAATCAAGGAGGAATATGATTATCGGTTAGCCACAGAAAAAGAAAAAAGTGAAAAAGAAATATTTGAGCGATCTGAGCGAGAAAATCAAGTTTGCCAACGCGTCAAAGAATTAGAACAAAAAGTTGTTGAATTAGGCGTTTCTGAGAGTCTTGCTCAACAAAAATCACGCAACGATGAGAGAGTAGCAACTGCGCTGAAGGAGCAGATTTCAGCATCTTTGTCAACTGTGTCGCAATTTTCTGAAAAGAATATTGAGCTTGCAAAAGAAATTGAAGTTCTGAGAACCCAAGTGGAGTTGAAGGATAAACTAGAAAAACGTCTCAATGAAATGCAGCAAAGCTACGATTCGCTGAGTGCGGACTTCACAGCTTTGTCTGAAAGGCTCAAGGATCGCACGGAGGAGCTGGAAACCAGGCGCAGGGAGAACCAAAAAAAAGACGACGAAATTCGCCACTTGAAGGATGAGCTAGTCAAAAAAGAAGCAGCCTATTCTGAAGAACGCCAACTGACAGAAAAAGAGAGATTGAAATCCTCAGAGATGGAGGCTCACGTGGCATCGCTGAAAGAGCAAAATAATGTCCTTAAGGAATTATACGATGAGTGCTTGGAGGTTGCGCGTAGCTCATGGCAGGAAGTGGCGACAGCAAAACAAGAAGCAACCATTTTGCGAAATCAAATTTCTCAGCAGGAATCGACCGTTGAAAAACTTAAGCAATTCGCAACGGGGCGCCGAGAACGATTATTTGTGGGAAGTGCGTCGAAAAACGTCGAATCCCAATCAGAGCAAGTGCCTCGAATTGTTTTACCTCAAAGGGTCTCAAATCCGAGACTCGATTTGTTAAAGAATGCTCCATGTGAGGAGGCAGCAGAGCCGTTCCAAATCGATGAAACTGTTTCTGCTGAGAAGGAAACGAGGAAAGAACCGAACGAGGTTTCTCAAAGTGTTGCGTGTGCTCCTTGCGTTCCTCCTCACATTTTAAAATGGCTAGAGAAAACCAAAATTCCTCCAAAAACAATCGCCGAACGCCCGGCAGCTTTTAATGCTTCCAGGATTTCCTATGAAGGATCAGAATCTCAAGTCAATGGCCGTCAACATCTGAATTTGCAATATTGTGAAACGCAGATTGATTCCACAGACCGACAAAGAAAATACTCAACAAGGGCCAGTACCGGTCCAGGGAATTCTACGCCGTCCGCTTGTGTCGGAAATTTGGAGAAAGACGGGGGGCTGCGCATTCCCATTGGTCCATTTGCGTTTGTTTCGACTCCAACAACAGCATCAGGAACCCCAGGGATTGAAACCACGATGAGTACAACATCGGCATCGGAATTCCCTAAGGACGCGTTTAATAACGCCGATGGAAGCAATGGTTGTTCATTTCCTATTGATTGGGGAAAACTAGAAAGCAACAAGTGTGAGCGACCCAAGAGTGACACCAGGAATGACGCGATCTCGCCTTCATCCTCTGATTCGAGTCACAGTGGAACATCTCGTTCAGTTCAGTCTTTTCACAATTCATCTCCGTCATCATCCACCCGCTTAGTAAAAGTTCTGTCCAAGGGAGGACAATGCCGCTATGAACTGCAGACGCTTTCAACAACCATTGCACAAACAAGCCGCTGATAAACTACATTTCGCTTTTCACAGTTAGATTTTTTTGTAATCTTAAGATAGTGTTATTTTCGCAAAAAAGTGGGTTTCAAGGATAAATGCAAGCAAAATTGTAAAGAAGGAAAAAAGAGAAGCGCCATCAAACAACGCATTTCTTTTTCCTTATTTAATACTGATAGATTGAAAAGTTCTCACTTTCGACCCCATCGTGGAACTCGGCGCGATCTTCTTCACCGCAACTAAGTGGCCAGCAGGGGTTTTGGGGGGCGTAGTTAGACTGAGGGGTCTTCGTGGTGTGGAGACCTGAGCAAGACGTAGAGAAGCACCGATGTCGTTATCCTTACAGATCTGGGAATTCCGACACAAATTGTCTCCACTTACTCGTGGTTACTGGCGGCTCTTCAGTTGTGCAGTCAGGACAACCGTATGAATTTCTTTGGCCTACAGAGAAATACGAATCGTTTCATCAGGCCATCAGCCTAAAACAAACCAGCGCAAATGAGTGCGGCTTGGGCATCCACGATCCCTGGGCATTTCGAGTAACCATTCAGGGACGCCACTTTTCGGCAGGTGCTCGTGATACAGGAGAAAATTGCACTAGAGGAGAGTCTCGGAT